AAGCGCATGCGCTTGTATCTGGAGCAATGCGCTTATGGCCGATCCTCAATTATAAGCGCACCCCTTTGGAAATCTTGACTTATTATAAGCGCACCCTTTTAGTTAAAAAAAAAAGAATATCATTTTTTTTACCTACCTAGCCTACATGTTTTAAACTTTCCATTAAGTTTGACAATCACATACAAGGGTGGTCTCTGCTTTCCTGCACTACACCTTTCGTTGCCTAGTCTACCCTACTGCCTATTCTTCCTCCTCGTCCGACTCAGGCTCCGTGGAGTTGTTGCCCCAGAACCCATCTGCCTGGATGTCGTCGTCCACCTCCACCTCATGGGACAACTGGCACCTTCGGTGCGCCAGCACCAGTTTGTCTTCGCTCCCATCAAGGGCGTTGCTGATGCCGCAAGTGAGGAAGGCATTCTTGATGAGGTCGGCGGGCACCGCCTTCCAGGCCCGTGAAATCCACTTGAGCACCACCTCCGGAGGTGGTTTCTTGATGTTCCCTGCATCACACGGAGTGGGGCGGGGAAAACATGAGACAAGTAAACATGCATTCAAGCTCAAGATTTGCAGACGGGAGCACATGCCGTCACTCACCTGCCGGGGTCAGGATGTTCATGTCGTCCTCCTCAAACCAATTTTGGTACTGCTGACGAATGCTTGCTTTGAAGCTCTTGTTGATCGACACATCGAGGGGCTGCAGGCCTCCATCCACCCGTTCGCTTGGCAGCCGACCACAACATCTGCACGCAACGAAAAAGAACGGTTGACGACTCAGGTAGTAACGGGAATAAACACGCGCGACGATCACTTACCGTTCGGGAAGTCACCCTTGGGGAGTGTCTTGCGCTTGAAAACCACCCACGGCTTCAGCTTCTCGCCTGTCGCCGTGCACGCAAGCATGACGGTCACTCTCTCCTTCTGGTACCCACCGCTGCAGATGAGCACCGACCTGACGCCCGTCTGCTCCACGGTGGTCGTCGCCGGCATCTCCAACCACAGCGGTGTCTGGTCGGCGTTGATGATGTAGCGGTTGTCAATGTCGTATTCGTTCCGGGCGTCACGTACGTACTGCCAAAAATCCTTGCACTGCTCAGCCATGTCTGCGGAACAGGGAGAAAAGTACATATAGTAAACCAAATTAGTATGACGCACAGGAGACATGCGAAAAAAAAACTAAGCGTAATCGGGATAAACCGAAATCAGCAGTAAACGACCCACTTACGCTCCTGTGTTTTCTGCGCCACCTTTGTTTTCATGCGCACGCTGAGGTTCCACCGCCTGCGGAACCGCTCCGTCCACCGCTGACTGCCTTTCTACTTGACGTCCGGGTATAGAACCTTCATCACTTCTTTGGACCACTCTTGCAGCCGGCCGACCGAAACCGCAACTCCGCGGCGTCGCCAGTCGAGGAGTTGCGCGTACACCTTTAACTCCATGGGGCGGTACCAAGACGACCTCCCGCGCCCGTGAAGTCGCATCCGTGCTCCTTGTGCAGCCTTGAGCGCCTCCGCTTGGGCTTTCCATTCTGTCAGACATTTTCGGTGTATGCCTGACTCCCGCGCCACTTCGCTCACCGAAGCCGCAAGCTCAAGCCGCACGAGCCACCTCAACTTCTCCCGGGCGGTGTAGGACTGCCGCTTATGTTGATTCAGCTTGTGCCTGGGGGAGGGGGGGCGGGCATCTCGATTCTCGGTAGACGGGTGGGGGCGTTTTTTGTTAAGGGGCGGATACGTCGGTACCGGCATCTTCGCGCGTGGTGCGTCGCGCCACCAGGACTCCACACCGTCCTCGTCCTCGTCACTGTCGGGGAACACGTCTTCCTCGTCGCCCGCTGCACCGTCGCCACCAGCTTCACCGTCGCCTCCAGCTTCGCCGGCGCCGCTGTCATGTTTGTCGGTAGCCACATCATCGTCGGCGCCCACAGCCGACTCATCCCACGCGCAGACTTCTGGTTGTCCCCACCGTGGTGCAGTCGCTGGAGCTTGGATGCGTGCATCGGGGGCCTTGGGTGTGTCCGCTTCAGCCAACCATTCGTCGAACGTGGCTGGTAAATACAGTTGGAGCACGGGCCGTTGGTGAGCACCTGCCGTAGCAAAAGCAGGCGGATTCGGAGGAGCGGGAGGTGCGGGAGGAGCGGGTGGAGCAGGGGGTGCAGGGGGAGCAGGAGGAGCAGGGGGTGCAGGGGGATCCGGTGGCACTGGAGGCGCTGGTGGCTCACGGGTATACCACCCGTCCTCGGTAAGTCGCCATGTGCGGCGTGGTTTCTTCTTGAAGAGGATGTGAGTCCCACTAAATTCCGCCATGGCTTCGCCTGCCAGGCGGGCTAGACAGGAAACTGAATGAAAAAATTAGAGACGAGGTTGAAGAAATGGGCAACGACGGGGACCCCTGCTGCGTGGCGGCTTGGGTTCCTCGTCGATGACAGGCAGGAAACCCCCGCCCACTCCCGTAGAGGCGCCTGTGTGGCAGCATCTACGCTGCGCTGGCAGGGAATCTTGCCGAACCTTCGAGATGGTTATGCCCGAATGCACATGCCACGCAGCGCATGCGGCTCTGATTGGGCCGCACGACAACATCCTCGTCACGGCTGTCACATTCGATGTTTCCAGACAACATTGTGCGGTGGGAAACCGGACCGCTGCGGTTTCTGCCTGAAAACTATGCACGATCCCACTTGGTGCATGGTCGGTTGAATTCGCCGTATTGAGAGCTTCACAATGGTGTGTTCAAAATTGATTGTCATTTTTCCCTTTATACAAGCGCATGCGCTTATAAATCTGACTCAATTATAAGCGCACCCCCCCAAAAAACAATGTTTTATTATAAGCGCAGGTGCGCTTCTATCCGGGGTATTACGGTACCGTCATCACCCGGATATAAGACAGTGTTGAATAGTAGACACGGGTTGTCTATTATACGGGTGTTTCTTATAAACAGGGTAGCTTCATTATAAGACACCTATTTGTGTGTAGGGGCAAATGGCAAATGTATAACGAAGAAGTATCTTCTAAACGGATTTTTGTCCATTTACCGTATAAGACTGTTTTTTTATGTATGAGATAAGACATACATGTCTTATATCCAGATGATGACGGGTAGGATAACGTTGCCAAGTATGAGGGAATCTGAGAAGTCTCAGTAATGACCTTGTTAATACCGTATTACCCCGGATAGTAGCGCATATGCGCTTATAATAAAATCAGTTTTTTTGGTAGGGGCGCTTTTAATTGAGTATCGGCCATAAGCGCCGGCGCTTATATAATGGCAAATACAGAAATACAACTTAAACGCATTAAATTGTACATTTCCGTCTCGTAGGTTCAATCGAGTCGACATTCAATAGCGTCCTAAATTTGAATCGCGTGAGGGCGAATCTCTGACGCTGCACATAGCTTTTCGCACGTCAATTTGCCCGTGTGGCACCTCATCCTGACTGGACGCGAAACCAGTCAGGACCTCTAAAGTCAAACGAAGTGAAAATGGGTGCTTACTCGCTTGAATTTCGAAATTCGTTACTGTTTTAATCAGGATTGAAAGAATAAAATTGTACATGCACTTATAATAAATCAGGGTTTTCCAGGGGGGGGCGCTTATAATCGAGGAACGGCCATAAGCGCCATGCTCCAGATATAGGCGCCGGCGCCTTTAATCGGACGGCGCCTATATCCGGGGCCATACGGTAAAATGAAAGAGAACAAGATGATTATAAGATAAGAGTACAAGGGTATAAATAGCAAACCTAGCTAGTCATGTACTCTGAGGGGTACATTCCCTTAGGGTACATTCCGCTGAGGACACATGTCCCAATCGAGTGTACCGCTCCGAACCGAACTAAACCAGAGACGCGAAAATTTCGAAACTAGGGTGTAATTTGGTGTAATACCACGATGCAATGCAGTAGAAACGATTGGGACACATCGATTGGGACATGTGTCCACAGCGGAATGTACCCTTATTAACTGAATTGCATTGCTACAGTAGCCACGACTATTGTCATTCTAGACAGTTACCATGTTATACTTTCGCAACTGCCTTGTGCGGTTACTGGGCAGTCAAGGGTCACGACCGTTGACTCGTCTTCGACTGTTGACTTTCGGGTGACCCTTGACATTCCGCGTGCTCTATACGAGCTCATGCGGTACTGACACAGCTGCTTGCTTCGTTACGAGAAGACTCGACAGTGGGTAACCTTCGGGAATGTTTATGATAACCTTTCGGTTATTCCAACAAACAGGGCCATGAAACTTTGCCATAACAGATCATGGCATTCTGAACACAAATACCAGAGTTGGCCTGAGGCCTCATGATGCCCTAAATCCTAGTAAAGGGCCTGGTTCAGGTAAACACAGTAACCCCAGGGGCGAGCTGAAGGCATAGTAGCGTGTGAGTGATGAGCAGGCGACCACAGACAGCTGGCCGCACGGCGAGGTGGCATGAGGGCGAGGCGAGGCGGGGCGGCATCAGAACTCATCCTCGCTGTCTGGCACGACCTCCTGCATGCACCATGCAGCATGCAGCATGCAGCATGCAGCATGCACCATGCACCATGCAGCATCCACCATGCACCATGCACCATGCACCATGCACCATGCACCATGCGCCATGCACCATGCACCATGCACCATGCACCCACCTAGCACACATGCACACATGGTGGGACAGAAGCGCCATGTGCGCTGGCGGGCTCATTGTGCCCACACAATGCAGGGCGGCTCATTGTGCCCACACAGTGCAGGGCGGCTCATTGTGCCCACACAGTGCAGGGCGGCTCATTGTGCCCACACAGTGCAGGGCGGCTCATTGTGCCCACACAGTGCAGGGCGGCTCATTGTGCCCACACAGTGCAGGCAATGACGGCAGGGAATGCTCGTCGTGCTTAGTAAGGCCCGACAATTGAAGACAGGGCATGCATGTGATTGCAGCATGAGTGAGAAGCAGAGGGGTGCCTACCACGATGGTTGTGCCTCCCACGATGGTTGTGCCTACCACGATGGTTGTGCCTACCACGATGGTTGTGAGGTCGTCCTGCGGAGGGCTGACGTCCCAGCGGTACAGATGGCCATCGGCGCAGCAGCAGATGACGATGCTGCACGCACCACCATGCACACACGCACCACCATGCACACACGCACCACCATGCACACACGCACCACCATGCACACACGCACCACCATGCACACACGCACTGCTGTGAGCGGCGCAGAGAGCCTGGCAGGGGAACTCATGTCCTTGGACCACTTGGATAGGTGCTGCATGAGTGTTGCATGCACGAGCAGCGATGCTGGACAGGTACGGTGCAGTTGACATGTGCGCTCACCTGGCATCATGGGCTCACCTAGCATCATGGGCTCACCTTGCATCATGGGCTCACCTCGCATCATGGGAAAGCGCAAGGGCTATTATTGGCGCTTTGGTGGGTGGGCGCAGGCTGCAAGGCAGAGAGGCAGTGCGGGGGAGGACGTGTGTGATGAGAATGAGGATGACGCATTATCACACGAGTAGCAACAGGTGCAGTGGTGCACGCGCGCATGGAGGAGGTTCAATTATTGCACTCACATGCTGTGACGACCCACCATGTGATGACCCACCATGTGACGACCCACCATGTGATGACCCACCATGTGATGACCCACCATGTGACGACCCACCATGTGATGACCCACCATGTGACGACCCACCATGTGACGACCCACCATGTGACGACCCACCATGTGACGACCCACCATGTGATGACCCACCATGTGATGACCCACCATGTGATGACCCACCATGTGATGACCCACCATGTGATGACCCACCATGTGATGACCCACCATGTGATGACCCACCATGTGCTGCACCCACCTGAACTGGTGTGAGGGGTCGGCCACTTTCACGACCTTCACTTCACTCGTGCCGCTCCCTGCCATCACGACCCCAGCCACCGCAACGCATGGAGGGGTGACTTCATCGTGGGATGATGAGCAAGCATTAGGAAAATAGCACAACCCCGCCAAGAGCTACCACTCTTAATGCCGCCCACTCGCTTGCTTGAGGCTTTCGTTTTGCTTTTGCTTAGGGCTGCCCGCAGCTCGCTTCTGGCAGTGCGCTCAACCATGCAGTGCGCTCAACCATGCAGTGCGCTCAACCATGCCGTGCAGCATCAGAGCTCATCATGTGTGAAGAAACACACGCGGTGGAATGCAATGGAATGCAGCTGAACGACACGCTCTGCAGTGGACTGTGGTGGAGTGCAGAGGAGTGGAATGTGGTTGAATGCAGCGGAATGAAGTGGAATGAAGTGGAGTGAAATGCAATGGAGAGCAGAGGAGTGTGGTGGAACGTGACGGAAACTGGAATCGCCCAGAGAAATGCGGTGGAATGCGGCACGTGGATCCCCACACACACAAGCATGCCCACTGGGCGACCTACGGAGGGCGAGGAAGCGCCGTGCTGCCGTCATGGCGAAGCGCGGGGGGCGTGGACGAGAGGGTGCGTTGTGAGTGGAGTTGTCAACAGCGGGTGGGTGGGCAGCAGAGAGCGGAGGCGTGTGCAGGTGGAGGAGTGTTTGAGAGGTGCCCTGTGGGTGAGGAGGTATGGATGCATGGCAGGACACGGGCATGCAGTGGTTGAGATGGCATGCGATGGGGGCATGAGATGGCAAGAGATGGCAGTCATAGTGGATAAACAGATGCGGGAGCAAGGCATGGCATGGCACGGCATGGCATGGCATGGCATGGCATGACACAGCACGGAATGGCATGGCATGGCATGGCACGGCATGGCATGGCATGGCACGGCACGGAATGGCATGGCATGGCATGGCACGGCATGGCATGGCATGGCAGCACGACGCAGAGCCAACAAGGATACAACAATTCGTGGTGACCATGTGAGCAGCACAGTGAGCAACACAGTGGGCGGCACAGTGAGCAACACAGTGGGGGCCACAGTGAGCAGCACAGACGTTGCGTGCTGCCGCATACACACCTCCTTTATGTCGAGCCCGGGCATGAAGGTCCACCGCCACAGCAGCACTGCGCCTGTCGTGCACTGCAGCACGCACCACACACCATTCTCATCCTCAGCAGGCATGATGGTAAGGCGGGTGCCTCATGAACAACCATCAATGTACGGCAGTGACATGCACTGCCGCTGTTATAAGCGCAGCAGCAGCACTGCCATTCACTCGGAAGTAGCAGCACAGATGACGGTGCAAGAGTGGGTGAGGGTGGGCACGGAAGTGGCAAGGCTGAGAGCAGACGTCACCATTGACACAAAGTGGCTCCCGTACGTGGCGCCTTGCTGCACTGGCGCTGCGTGCACCCTCGCTGCCACGAAGCCCTGCCGACACAGCAAGAGGTAGAGGAGGGCGCACAGCCTCGGGGAGTGAGAGATGGTGCAGCAGAGACCGGCAGGACGACTTGCAGCAAGCACTGACCGGCAGGACGACTTGCAGCAAGCACTGACCGGCAGGACGACTTGCTTGGTGGGGAAGTCAGAGGGCCTTCCCGTCCACTCCGCTGCCCCACGCATGAGATGCATTTGCTCTGCCACGCCCCGCACACGGTGTGCATGAGTGAGGATGAGAACGGAAAACATAATCTGAGAAATGGAGCACAAGATGAAACTTCACTCACACCTCCCAGGTCCCACTCACCTCCCAGGTCCCACTCACCTCCCAGGTCCCACTCACCTCCCAGGTCCCACTCACCTCTGAGGCCCCACACACCTCTGAGGTCCCACACACCTCTGAGGTCCCACACAGCCACTCTGCCGTCTTCCCCCGCCGTCACCACGGTGGTGCCTTCGATGCCACTCACGTCCTGCCCTGCCCCCACGGGTCAAGCAGGTCAAACGGGTCAAGCAGGTCAAACGGGTCAAGCAGGTCAAACGGGTCAAGCAGGTCAAACGGGTCAAGCAGGTCAAACGGGTCATGCAGGTCAAACGGGTCATGCAGATCAAACGGGTCATGCAGGTCAAACGGGTCAAACAGGTCAAACGGGTCAAACGGGTCATGCAGGTCAAACGGGCCAAACGGGTCAAACAGGTCAAACGGGCCAAGCAGTGATGTATGCAGATGCGAGACACGGAGAAAACAAAGAGGCAGAGACAAGGAAATGGAAAAGGAGCATGACTGCCCCCTGCCATGCGCCCCACCCCCCTGCCATGCGCCCCACCCCCCTGCCATGCGCCCCACCCCCCTGCCATGCGCCCCACCCCCCTGCCATGCGCCCCACCCCCCTGCCATGCGCCACGCCCCACTCCCCCCCCTCCCCTCTCCCCTCCCCCCCCGTGTGGGCGCACCACGGAGAGCACGGGTGTGCGGTGGAGGCCCAGGAGGATGGCGCAGCACACGGCGCTGCCCACATGCCACACCCACACCGACGTGTCCTGGCACGCCGTGCAGGGCACGCATGGGGGGCAGCAGCACAGCGAGCAGGGATGCAAGTGAGAAGGGGTGTTGGTGAGAAGGAGTGACGGGAAGAGACACTGCTATAGAGGGAGGTGGAGCGTGAGCAGTAGAAGGCGGTACGAGGGAACAGGCATGTGAGCAGGAAGAGGTGGGAGGGGGGGAGTGGAGGAAATTGGCGCTCCCACACCAGCTGTGTGAGCATGCGTCGTGTTGCGAAGCTGATGGTGGGTGTCGGGAGTGAGGTCGAGGGTGAGTCAGTGAAAATGAGTGTGAGGCAGTGAGGTTGAGTGTGAGGCAGTGAGGTTGAAACGTGTGACTCACTTTGCTGGCAGAGAGGAGAATGGACGGCTGAGATGGATGCGCACAGAGATCCGTGATGGCATCCCCCTGCCCCATTAGCGTCTGCATGACCGCCCGATCAAAGATGGCGTGGCATGGGATAGCACAAGATGGCATGGGATGGCATAAGAGAGCAAGACATGTGTTCACATGCAAGAGACATGTGTTCACATTCAAGAGACATGTGTTCACATTCAAGAGACATGTGTTCACATTCAAGAGACATGTGTTCACATTCAAGAGACATGTGTTCACATTCAAGAGACATGTGTTCACATTCAAGAGACATGTGTTCACATTCAAGAGACATGTGTTCACATTCAAGAGACATGTGTTCACATTCAAGAGACATGTGTTCACATTCAAGAGACATGTGTTCACATTCAAGAGACATGTGTTCACATTCAAGTCAAGAGACATGTGTTCACATTCAAGAGACATGTGTTTGTTGGTGTTAGGCCCCAATCTCACATTTTGTACTTGTACTTTTATATCCTAGTTTAGTGTAGTTTGCACTTTGTGTTTGGTTGGGTGTACACCCACATCCCAACCAAACCCAAATGTAATCTCCAAGCAATCTCCAACCCACCAATTGGAGATTGCCTTGGGATTACCCTTGATTCCCTAGGATTGCCCCCTGATTCCCTCCTCATCCCTACCTTGCTCATTCCGGATGTACTTAAAGAGCTTTGAGCTCACTACTATAGTATCGATTCTAAGCTCAAGTTCTGACATGGTATCAGAGCAGCTCAACCGCATACGCGGATCGTGATCCTCTCATCTCTGCGGATACTTGTCCCGCAAACCTCGGGGAAGCCATCGCCAATCTCGTCGCCGTTGATTCGCGACATTCATCGGCGGAATTTCCGCCGCCACATCTTCCCGTCACCATCGACGGAAACTTCTCTGGTAAGCGCATCGTCGGCGCTCTAACCTAACACTCGTTTTCATCAATTCGTCACTCTCGTCACTTCTTCTCCTCGTCGGGCCGCCGCCCGTCGCCCTGCAGCTTCTCGTCGGGCCGCCGCTCGTCGCCCTGCAGCTTCTCTTCGGGCTGCCGCCCGTCGCCCTGCAGCTTCTCGTCGGGCCGCCGCCCGTCGCCCCGCAGCTGCACTCCTACCCCCATCCCCCCTCTTTCCCGCAGCTGAACAGGTGCAGCAACGCAGCCGAGCAGCAGCGTAGCCGCGAAGCCGAGCAGCCGTGTAGCCGCGAAGCCGAGCAGCACCGTAGCCGCGAAGCTGAGGGTGGTGTGTGGGGGGGTGTGTGGGAATAGGATTAGTAGGTAGTTGACACTAAATTGGCGTCTCAGTCAAATTCTCCTTCAGAAACCCTAAACCTCAATATTCTCTTTCGTAAACCCGAAACCTCCGGTTCTTCAAAATCTCCTTTGGAAACCCCAAACCTCAAGTTCCTATCGGTGACTTAAGAGCGGCGCTCCGCGCGAGAAGTTAAGGGGTCTCCACCATGGCTTTCTCGTCTTCCACCATGGCGAACCCCATCACCCCGCTCCGCCTTGAAGCCGATGGCTCTAGCTCCAACTTCAAGGCGTGGAGCTACGGAGTTGACAAGCACCTCCTGAGCCGTGACGTGCAGGGCCTTGACCTCAAGGACGTCCTCCTCAACCGTGGCAAGGGGAAACAGCCCACTCTTCCCCGTGAACCGACCGAATCTTCAAGTGATGCTGACGTGATGACGTACGAAGAAGCTGTTGAGAAGTACCGGAAGTGGGAGAAGGCCGATGCTGCCATCATCAGCGTCTTCATTGCCTCCACCCCTCCCGAACTTGTCAACACGTTCCACAACTACCCTACCTCCAACGCCATCTGGAAGTATCTCCAGGATCGGTTCATGAACAAGACGGCGGTCGGAGTGGCGATTCTCATCCCCAGCATGTTTCAAGTCCGTCTTGAGGACTGCTCAGGAATGGCTGACTACATCGCCAAGGTGCAGACCATTCATGGTGAACTCAAGGAGCTGGGTATAGTCTTCCCCGAACAAGCCCCTGTAGCCGCCCTTCTTGTTGGTCTCTCCTCGGCATATGAAGTCACGAGGAAGATGCTCCTCACGCTCTCAGCGGAAGACCTCACCTTTGCTAAGGTCTCCACCGCACTCCTCTCTGCCGAGAAAGACTCCACGGCTCAGGCCAAGGCATACGCCATCCGTGTTCCCATGCCCCTAGCAAGTGTTGCAGCGGCCCTTGCCTCGGCGCCTTTCCAGCGCAACCGCTTTCCTCCGTGCACCTACGTCGTCAAGTATGGCAACCGCAAGGGACAAGTGTGTGGTGGCACTAACCACCCCCTTGCCACGTGCTTCAAGAAGAAAGACGACGAGTGGTATGCCATCCACGGGGTTGACAAGAAGCCGCCAAACTGGATGCGCGCTCGTAAGGCCAATCTCGTTGAGGTCCAGGACCCCTCTTCGGCTAGTGCTAGTGATAGTGCTCCTGTTGATGTGCGTATCAACCTGTTGTTTCCTGGCACTGCCATGATTAATGAAGCCACTTCCCAGTACATCGACTCATCACAGGCACCACAGTACATAGAGTTCACACTCGACAGCGGGGCCACTCACACTGTGCTCAAGGAGACACTCTCCTTCAAACCCTATCCAGCACCTATCCCTCTCTTGGGAGCTGACTCCAGCTTCACCACCCTAGCCAAGGGCACCTCCACAGTCCCATGCCCAGCCTTCCCTTCCGGCACCGTCACTGGCATGTGCGTGCCTTCACTACGCCACAATCTAGTGGCTCAAACAGAAATTCAGAAAGCAGGGCTACGCACCATCTTCTCGGAGAATGAGGACCACTGCGACATCATTGACCCACTCACCAACAAGGTCTTGGCCCGCTTCACCCTCAAGAGACATGTGTTCACATTCAAGAGACATGTGTTCACATTCAAGAGACATGTGTTCACATTCAAGAGACATGTGTTCACATTCAAGACACATGTGTTCACATTCAAGAGACATGTGTTCACATTCAAGTCAAGAGACATGTGTTCACATTCAAGAGACATGTGTTCACATTCAAGAGACATGTGTTCACATTCAAGAGACATGTGTTCACATTCAAGAGACATGTGTTCACATTCAAGAGACATGTGTTCACATTCAAGAGACATGTGTTCACATTCAAGAGACATGTGTTCACATTCAAGAGACATGTGTTCACATTCAAGTCAAGAGACATGTGTTCACATTCAAGAGACATGTGTTCACATTCAAGAGACATGTGTTCACATTCAAGAGACATGTGTTCACATTCAAGAGACATGTGTTCACATTCAAGAGACATGTGTTCACATTCAAGAGACATGTGTTCACATTCAAGAGACTGACCACCAGCATGCATGCAAACCATGCGGCACGGCTGGCACACCTTGAAGGGGCGGCGCGAGTGGAAGTCGACGATGCGCACCACACCCAGCTCGCCGCCCGCCGCCACCAGCACTCGCCCCTCCTCGTCCACCACCCACGCCACCGCTGCATACCTCTCCATCCCCCTCGCCTGCACTCACATGGGACGACGCCAGACAAGCAAGCGAGCAGAGAGGCATGCAAGCAAGTGTGAGTGCAAAGAGTAGAAGAAGGGTGTGCTTAGGCAAGGGAAAAGCAAGGCGCTCCATATCGTAAATTACGACCGTATTTTTGAAATTTTACCGTAAATTACGGTATCGTAATTTACGGTCGTAAATTACGGTAAAAAACGGTTTGACGTTGCAAAATTAGGTTGGTTCAAAAATACGGTCGTAAATTACGACCGAAAGTTTGAAACCGAGTTTGTGTATAGCGAATTTCAACATTTCCCAACCGTCAACCTGTTCGTGAGAATTTTTGTGGCCCCAAACCCACTCGAGAGTGTTTTTTTCCCGAGTCGCGAGTGTCAGCAAAATCTCGAGGCGCGACATTGTGCATTTTGGTGACAGTTTAACAGGTTTGTTGCCCATTCGCACACTCGTTTGTGTATTTCGCCGAATCGCAAATGTACAAATTTGTGCGACGCGCCAAATTGTACATTTGGCGAACGGATAACACAAGTCTACCCGTTTCGCCAAGTCGGTGGGTCGTTTCGCGGCCCGTTCGTTTTTTTCGCCCGCATGCGCTACTCAACTCAATTTCGACACTGCAAAACCATTCCAACCAATAGCGTTCGTCTTCATCCCTTCCATCTCATCCCTTTTGCATATTCCATTTGCCAACGCAACACCACCAAGTTAAACCAGGGCAAAAACCACCATTCTGTAGTGTAGTATGTTGTCGCCTTCCTTGTCATCGTTGTAAGCTTTCTAGGAATTTCTGGAAAAAAAAAAATCCGCAAAAAATGTCCATTTAAAAAACGACCGTATTTTTGCCAAAACCACCGTAAATTACGACCGTAATTTACGAGCCGTAATTTACGTTTACCGTATTTTTGAACCTTGCTTCAGTTCGAGGGAATGCACTTCAGTTTGTGCGCACCTCAGCTGCTTGGGCCATGTGCGCTCCTGCCCACCCTCACCCACTCGCAGGCAGCGGTGCCCCACATGGAGAGTGCGGTTACCGCTCGCAGTGCCACTCACCTACGTACCTGGTTACCACATGTTACATCAGCTGTGGGCGCTTCAGGGCTGTCCGCGTTAGGCTCACTCGCCCCTGTGGGGGGCGGGGTCGGCCCTGTGGTGGATGGAGCCGCATCCAACGGCCGTGCCGCCTCCTCGGCCGCCCTTTCCTGCCCACGGGTGGCATGGCATGCACGGTGCAAGGGCTGGGATTGACAAAAACAAGAGAAATCGCCCTACGGTATGCCAACCACTTGTTGCCTTGTAAGAGTCGTGCTGGGGTGGGTGCGCTTGTGTGCACTCACGGTGGGGGGGAAGTGGAAGAAGGTGTGTGTGTGTGCACTCACGGTGGGGGGGAAGTGGAAGAAGGTGTGTGTGTGTGCACTCACGGTGGGGGGGAAGTGGAAGAAGGTGTGTGTGTGTGTGCACTCACGGTGGGGTGCAAGTGGAAGAAGGTGTGTGTGTGTGCACTCACGGTGGGGTGCAAGTGGAAGAAGGTGTGTGTGTACGCAATGGAGCCGTCCGCCTTGCACTCCAGCAGCATGAGCTGCGCGGGCAGTGGCACGCACACAGCCAGGGAGACAGACCCGAACATCAGGCACTTGCACTTCAAGGGGGTTCTGGATCAAGCTGTGCAGAGAGGGACAAGAGAAACAGGCACCATGGCGGGCAGTGCACACGTGGCGGGCAGTGCACACATGGCGGGCAGTGCACACATGGCGGGCAGTGCACACATGGCGGGCAGTGCACACATGGCGGGCAGTGCAAACATGGCGGGCAGTGCACACATGGCGTGAAAGTCACCATGTTTGCAGAGACGCATGCGAGGTGGTTGCGATAGCGGGGATGCCACGTGTTGAAGGCCATGGCGGATGGAGTCTCGCCATCGTGGTCCCACACGAACGGTGCCTGCACGCACGTGGGAGCAACGCGAGGGAGCAAGACATGCATTGCAAATGAAAGAATGTGTGGAAACAGAGTTGGCAGAAATCATTGCAAGCGCAATGTCCTTGGTTCTTTCCGAGAACATGGACCAGCAAACGCAAGGGAAAGCGCTAGCAGCGCCGCAAAAGGGAACCCCTGACGCACTCGAAGTGAGGCTTGCGGCGGCTGCCAGGCCGCCTCCGTCGCTGCCATGCGCCGCAGCTGGCTCGCCGGGGAATGCGCGGAGACGCGAGAGGCTGGGCGCGGCGTGGCAGGTGCGGGAGGCGGGAGGCGCGCGACGAGCCGGCGGAATGCAGCCTGAGCTCGCTAGCCCGCTCTGCGCGTCGCCGACACGCGCAACGCAATATCGCGGCGTGAAGCGCGGTGAGGTGGGGGAGAAACGGACACTGCGGGAAGAGGGATGACGGGGAAGGAGAGGGGAGGGCGGGATGGAGGGAGTTGACGCAGTTGGCAGTGGAGCTCGCAACGGCGATGGTGCCTGAACGCTTTTACCTCGGGTTTCGCGATCCGGAATCAAACGACTGCTACCCAGACCCCACACGTTTCGCCTTCTGGGAGCAAGAGTGAGCGACAGAAGCCCCAAGTCGCTCGAAATCACCTCGCAATGACGTCAAACTCTTGCTCCAACTTGCTGCGCGAGACCACAATATTTTGAAAATGCGACCGTTAGGGAAACTGTGTTGTATACCCGTTTTAGGACGCGATACCCGATTTGGCGAGTGAACTTTGATATCCGAAGCATAAGCCTAAAATCCCATTTCTTGACTCTGGAAAATGGATTTAAGAAATTGCATTTGGAGGATTTAGAATCACTTCACGTGACAGCACCTGGAGCTGTACAGAATACAGTACCTGTCATGCTGGCGAAGGTTTTGGGAAAATATGCCACAAGGGTCTAGATAATTTGTTTGGTAAAAACAAAAAACGGATACGGTCAAAGGAAATTGTGATTTCACGTGTTTGATAAAGCTTTTCACGAAATCAGTCACAATCAACTAGGAAAAAAGAACCGCGAATGGTCACAGATGAAACTTGTCAAGAATAATATATATTTCTATATATTGTTTTGTAACTGCCTGTAGTGTAGACTACTGTAGTTATATGATGTTCTGTTTGGTGGTGCACCTTTCCTTCTTGCCTATTTGTACTCCTCGCTCTATAGTGAAACATCTCACTTCTCTTTTCAACTTTCTCGACTTACCTAAAATTACTCGAACTCAATCACCAAGGCTCCTAAGCCTAACTCTTCCTAATTACTTTCACATGCTATCAGAGAGAGTTACGATCCTGGCCTTGTGCTTCCGCTGCTACTGAGTGTACTGCACGCCCCGTGGTGTGCCCTTTCATTCGCGGCCCCGCCACCCGCTCGCGGCCCCGCACCTTCTTAAGCGGCCCCGCCGCCCTACTGTCGCGGCCTCGCCGCCTCTCTGCTGTCGCGGCCCCGCCGCCCTACACTGCGGCCTCGCCGCCCTACTCCTGCGGCCCCGTCGCCGCCCGTCCCGGCTCGTCGCCGCCCGTACCAGCCCGTCGCCGCCCTTCGCGGCGTCACGTTCCGCCCGTCCCGGCCCGTCGCCGCCCGTGCGGTACCCACCCTAGGCACCGATGCCACCTGCGGCCCCGCCCTCTTGCGGCCCCGACCCCGCCCCGGCCATGCCCTGTCGTCAGCCGCGGCACACCGGGGGCACGTGCACCGCCCCCCCCCTTTTCCCGTCACCCGTCGCGGCTCCTTCGGGGGCCGCACGCGGCCCCCTCAGGTCGCCTCGACAGGTGACGGGAGGGGCGACCTGGAAGGGGGGGGCAGGCGTCGCCCCCTCTGCCGCCTGCTTTGGCGCCCGGGGAGGCCGTGCGTCGGCCCCCCCCCTCCCTCTCCCCCTTCTTCTCCTCCTCCTTTTGTTCCCTCTGCTGCAGCTGCCGCTGGGGGGGAGGGTGTGAGAGTGTGGGGGAGCCCGGGGAGGGACTGGGGGTGGTGGGTGTGGGGGTGATGGGTAATGTCTGTTCCCCTAGCCCTACGGCCCCATTCTCCTCCGTTTGCTTCCCCCCCCCCCCCCCTCTGCTGCTCCTGCAGCAGTGTGAGGGGGATGGGGAGGGGGAGGGGGAGGTTGAGGGGATGTAGGGGGTGACCAACCAGAGCCTACCACCTCCTCTCCTCTCTCTCTCCTCTCTCCCTTCTGTTCTCTGTTTTCTGCACTGGTTGCCTACTGCTGCTACTTCAACTTCACTCTGCTTGGTGTACCCCATTATGGGGGCGTTGACTGCACATTCTTCCCTACAGGCACTTATGGGGGCGTGTCAAGAATAATATATATTTCTATATATTGTTTTGTAACTGCCTGTAGTGTAGACTACTGTAGTTATATGATGTTCTGTTTGGTGGTGCACCTTTCCTTCTTGCCTATTTGTACTCCTCGCTCTATAGTGAAACATCTCACTTCTCTTTTCAACTTTCTCGACTTACCTAAACTTACTCGAACTCAATCACCAAGGCTCCTAAGCCTAACTCTTCCTAATTACTTTCACAAAACTCCCGCCCAAAAAAAATAATACCCAAAACGAACCTGGATGCATTTTCGGATGAATCAACCCTAAACACAATTCGCCAGATGTTTAGGGTCGATCCGTTCCCAAACCGCATCCAATTCCGATTGGGTTTTAGTTCTTTTAGAAGTTAGCTGATTGGTTGGACGCGAGCGGGAATATTGTAGAGTTTCAAGAAATTTTGGCGGGAGGGTACATTCCTGCGGGGACACTTGTGTCTCAATCACTTTGTGACATCTAAAAACAGCATATACCGTACCATGTCACAAACGCGGATCGCGCTAATTCGATTCCCACTGTATTTTACATTGGTTGGCGTGAAATGCGCGGGTGTCGCGGACGAGTTACACGAGGCCCCGTCACCTCCCGAAAATCGCACGCGTGTCGAAATCTCACAATGTACAGCATGCACCTGGACGCCCGAATCGTGCACGTTTCAGCGCGGGAAAGGAAACCGCTCTGCCCGGGCTGACAGATGACTGGTCCTTCAGTCCACACGGTCACATCCCTGCCCGACTGTGCCCACCGTTCCAACCACGCGGACAGCACTCTCCCACTCCAATCTATTCTTCTTCTCCAAACCCCAGCTCTCTTTCTTGTTGCGTAGTCCTAGCCACCGTCCTCTTCCACGACGTAGCCATGGCCCGTAAGCGCAAAATTTATAATTTTTAAACACACATTATGTTTTTTAAAATTGTGTATTGTGAAAGCGAAGCTGTTTGTACTGCACAATTGGCATCGTCGAAGCGCGCTAAACGCCCTTCTCCAACTACAAAAACCGTGGGTTGGAGTTCATTTCCCTCCACCCACGTTTCTCGATTTTCAAACGGCTCACTCAAGACTCCCACCACCCACCCCGGAGTAAACCGCCTTGCTAATGCCACTTGGATAGGGTACATCTTAGCTAGTGTTATTCGATTGCACCAGCTTGTGTTCAACGTTGATGCAAATGTTGTAATAAGCCATTTGTAATGAGAACGATGCCAATTGATAAGAATAAGAAAGCAAGCTTTCTCAATGCGTAGCTAGTACTGCTGACTTGTGCCCGCGAGATCTCAACGAGATCCCGTACATCGCCTGGATGAACAAGCAGATCGCTGCCGGCCACAAGCCCGCCGGACCTTTGCCGGAAGGAGCGCCTGGTGTGGGAGACACCTCGTTCGAGGCCCCGCGCGATGTCCCTACCCGCGGACGCCGTCATGCCGGCCGTGTTGCCTCATCCCGCGTCAACGACGATGCTGCCTTCGCTGACGACGATGACGCCGCCGACTCTGATTACAACGAGTGCGACGACGCCTGCGACGACGACGCGGACTCTGGCGAGGAGGAGGACAAGGGCATGTCCCCCTCCGAGGATGAAGTTGACGCCGATGAGGACGCCGATGAAGACGAAGACGCTCCCGAGGAGGCCCAGCCTGCGACCCCGGCTCCCCGTCGTGGCCGTGCCTCTGCCGCTGCGGGAACCAAGACTGCTGCGAAGGGCGGGGAACCTCCGCGTGCGGCTGCCACTACTCGCAACCTGCATCCTGTTAAGCGAAGCGCGTGGTCCCCCCGCGAGAACACGATCTTCGTGGCTGCACGTTGGTTCATGACGGACGAGCTCGGCCCCCTCCTCGGGAAGCAGGGCGCTCAGTACTGGGCCCGCCTCGCGCACCATCTCGAGCTGGAGAATCCCGGGTGGGTGCGCGGCGTGAACGCGCTTCAGAAGCAGTGGCGCAATCTCGTCAACATGTACAAGCAGATCAAGAAGGGGGAGAAGGCGAGCGGCAAGGGTGCCGTGTGCAAGCCCCACTGGTACCCGTACATGGCTCTCTTCCAGAACAACAAGGCGGTCGGCAACCCTCACGCTGTCGACGGTGGAGGTGCGGCACACGTCAACGTGCCGTGCGGGTTCGCGGTTCCGTCCACTTCGGCACCCTCCAACTCTACGCCGACATTCACTGGTACGTTTCTTTTGGTGCAATGATACTTGTAGTGCGTTTTATGATTGACACTTCATTGCTCACCTTTGACTATCAAATTTCAGTACAATACACAGCACATCTTCTAATGCTTGCGTGCGGCCACCGTGTGTGCAGCTCCACCTCCGCAGGGTACTCCCACGTCGAAGCGCCCACGCGTGGCAGAGACGGCAACAAGGGCCGCTGCCAAGATGGTGTGCGAGACAATCAAAGGCTGCCACTCTGACGCCATGAGCACGCTCGAAGGCCTTGTCCGCGCGTGGATGGAGCAGGACGCGCGTATTGCCCGCGAACGCGTGCAGCAGCCCGCCCCCCCCCCCCCCCTGCCGGCCGGCGACAACATCCCAGCCCACACGGACAACATGACCGCAGCAGACGCCGCCGAAGGCGGCGACGACGGCTGGCTCCGTCGCAGGCAGACGGGCGAAGACACCTCTAACCCTGATGCGGGTGAGGAGGTGTGGGTTCGCGGCGCCGCCGAGTGAGGTAAGACGACTCCAGAGCCTCACCCAGCCGCTTGCGCCTTTCCCGCAGATTCCCTTGCGTGCACGGGTCACATGGCTCCCACTTGAACCCCGCTACCGCCCCACGAGTCCACCATGGTGTCAGATTTATATGACATAGTTGCTGTAGGCTATAGTGGGGTAGCACATATGGGGTACAGGGTTTCTAGGGTTGTATTTGTACCCAATCTTT